GCGCTCTGCAGTTTGCAGCCCCCGACTTGCGGAAAAACCCTTCGGTGGTGCGGGCGGCCTTGGCGCAGGACGTGCGCGCCATGGACTTCGCGGACAAGGAACGCGGGAAAGGAAGCGCCGTGATTTTTGGTGTTGGGGTGGGTTTAAAAGGGAGTCCACCCTGTTTGTCGCGTACTCAAATGACTCAACTATGTTGAAACAACCACCCCTAGTGCAATTCCTTGACAGGTTGTCTAAACAACAGTGGTTGAAGCATGTTCAGTCAAGGGGTTGGCCCGATTGTGATGTCCACCCCTTAAAGTGGAATTGGGGAGGGTGTGTGCCGCGTACGAGAGCAGCTACCCGGAGGCTCCAAGTTTCCTTATCTTCAAGCTCCTTCAATCATTCATTCACTGTGTCTAAGCAATGATGCGCTGCGACGGGCGATGATTGAGGCCAACGCGTTGTGTGACATGGTGTGACCAGACAAACTTGGGAACCCAACAAAGCTTGTATGTTTGTATGTTCCGTGAACCACTCAGATAGTGCAATGACCTATTGTGACGCGCCAGCCTTCTGAAGCCGCGGGCGTTAGGGGATTCAACGATACACACCTGCACATATATATATATACATATATATATATGTGTATGTATATACTTGGTGTACTTATATATGCACACGCGCGTGGCGTATTGAGTTTTGGTAGACGTACAACAATGCTTATTGTTCTCCACACAAATAGACACACACACATCAGGGCAAACTGTCGCGACCTCACAAAAAACGTTCGGGAGTTCAGCCATGGTGATGGTGATGGTCCTAGTAGGGGATTCCTTAATTCAGATTTGTGCAGTTTAGTAATGTGCGCAGAGAAAAAGCACGAGACACACGCAGTTATAGCACAATGGTGATATTTCAGTAGACTATTTAGACACATGAAGACATCAATCCGTGTATATGTATGTGTGTCTATCTGTTTGTCTGTCTGTCTGGCTGTCTGTCTGTCTGTCTGTCTGTCTGCCATGCATGTATGTATGTATGTATGTATGTATGCATTTTTGTATGTATGTAATTTATGTATGTACGTAATGTATGTATGTATGTAATTTATGTATGTACGTAATGTATGTATGTATGTAATTTATGTATGTATGTAATGTAATGTGATGCAGCGCAATGTAACGTAACGTAATGTAATGTAATGTAATATCTGTCTGTCTGTCTGTCTGTCTGTCTGTCTGTCTGTCTGTCTGTCTGTCTGTCTGTCTGTCTGTCTGTCTGTCTGTCTGTCTGTCTGTCTGCCTGTGTGTGTGTATCTATGTATGTGTATATATTGATATGGATGTTATAGTGTTTTCATACATAGACATATATGCGTACACATCATGTGGTGAAACCAAAGGTTAAGCTTCAATTTGTAGTCCCTCAACAGACAAACGCCTTCCCACCCATGGGCCCCAGATTCTGCGAAGACTTTCCTTTAGAACCTTAACACTTATAGAAACTTGCTCCAAAGGGGGCGTTCTCAAACTGGTGGACACCATTTGGGCCGCTTTAAAGGGACATCAAAAGGAACCAACCCGTTCTTAGGGGTCCTCTGCTCTTAGAAGCACCCCAAGGCTCACTCCCTAACTCCTCGACTTGATGCTTTTTGGGTTTGGACACGGCAACAAGTTCAGTCCCTCATTTTTGGCCCCTCCAGACCGGAAGGAGCTGCTGGGCGACCACGCCTTTGCGGTGTCCGCGGTGTGGCTGCAGGGCCTGGCCCTGCGGTACCTGGCGACGAGTCTGCGGGGCGACCGGGAGCTGGCGGGGCTCCGGGCTTGCTGTCGGCTGTCCGCGGTCTTCGGGTTGAAGCCCAGCCGCGGCGGTGTCGGCCCCGAAATTTTGGGCGTTGAACATGCCAAGACACGGGGGGGGGAAGGCAGAACTTGGTTCAACCGGATTCTGCCCTTTTAGAGAAAGGTGGTTGAACATTTTACAAGGCTTCCCAACCTTGTGGGGAGTGGAAGTGGAGGATTCACCGAGCTTGCTTCTTTTGTTTGTTTCGTTCATTCTAAGTGAGGTTTCTCTAGAGGTGATTTTGCCTAAGTCACATTTGCAACGCTGGCCCTGAAATTGGGAGAATATCCAAATGTGCGTGTGTGTGAATTGATTAATTGGGAAGTTGGCGAACAGCATCTAGGTGGGGATTAAGCCACATGTGACGCGGGCCCATTTGCCCTCTTTCCAGATGCCTTTTTTTGGGAAACTGGGAGGAGGTGGGGGTGATCTTCTACCCTTCCACTGTAGGCAACCAGGATTCTTGCCGCTAGGTTTTGTGCCTTGGTTACCAACCTTTCAAACGGAGATTCCTATGAAGGGTCTTTGGTGTTCCACGTAGATCTGGGAAGTAACATCTTTCCAACAATCAAAGTTTTCTCCAATGTGGATGCCTTCAAGCAAAATGGGCGGAACAGCCAATTTTCGGCAGCTTCTTTTCAACAGTCATGAGTCCTTTCCAAGAGGTCAGCTTCATGATTGGATGGAGGGTACGTATACATTACATACCGGATCAGGGTTTTTGACGATACATCAGTCCCCTCCCCCCCCCCCCCGCGCTCCCTTGACTTCCCTAATTACCAATACTTGACGTGGCATTTGACTAGCTCCTGGTGGGAACCAGCTTCAAGAATTCCCGGTTCCAGGTCCCATCTTGATTTCCTAAGTTAGGGGACCTTTTTGGATGACTCATGCAGAGTGTTTTTTGTTTTTGCAGGTGGCGCTGAGCTGCCAGAAGGACCCCCGCGCCATCGCCTTCGCAGCCCCGGAGCTCTTCGGAGACGCGAAGTTCAAGCGCTCCCTGCAGGCGCGAGCGAAGCCAACAAGCCCCGGGGGTGCTGGGGGCTGGGTGGAAGTAACTCGACAAGGCCAGCTTTGAGTGGGTCTTTGGAAGGACGAGGAGCTAGGTTCATGGGGATCTCTAAGGGCTCCATTGGGGTTGGTTCGGGGCAACTCAACCAAAAAGGCACTGTCCCACATTTCGGACCCGGTTCAAAGCACCCTGCTGTGTATGAACCAACAAGTCCGGCAGTGACTAGGGTTGAGACCAGGAGATCAAGCCTTGATGGGAAAATTCCATACTCCGCGGATATTGAACAAGCAACAACAAACCGTGCGCAGGATCAGCATGTTGGTTTTGGCTGCACCCATGTTATGGCCTAACCTTCAATCCAGGTTTCGATTGTGACTCTGGTGTTAAAGGAGTGCACCTACTCAACCCCAAAAACAAGCATCAGAGATGCTTCTCGATCTTCATCTCGTCGAGTTTTGCTCGTGCCGCGCGTAGAATGTTCTCTGGATAGATTCAAAGCCATCCTGAGAATTGATCGAATCTACCTTCACTCAACCATGGCTCTGAAGAGCTTCACGAAATGTGAACATGCTTGGACGGTACAAGGCTTTGGGACAAGGATAGAACTGACTCAGTGCCGCAAATACCAACAACTTTGTGGCTGAAGCGAAGAGCAAAGGGTTTTCCCTTGTAAGCAGTCAGTTTTCACCGCCGCTGTCAAGGAGTTCAGAGGCGCCGTTCTCTCAAATGGCCGTGGGTCAACACCAATGGTGCCATTTTGGGGTAGGTGCACCACCCATTTTCTATTTTAGTGAGGATTGGGATGTTCACTGGGGGTACGGGGTTTTGACATATATCCAAATATCAATCCTGCTGGCTGTCCGGATCTCCGCAGGGCAACGCGGAGGCGCCCAAATTTCTGAGCTGGAGTGACGAGAAGCGCCACCAGATGGAGGAGCAGCTCTTCGACCAGTACAATTACGTAGCTCGGGCGTGAGCGGCGAGGCTTAACATGAAACGTGGACAGCGCATTTCCCCCCAAAAGACGCATCCTTGGACTGAGACCTGTTCCAAGCCAGAACGCTGAATGGGGGGGGGGAAGTGAGCGAAAGGGGTGTTCACGTTCCATGTTCGGTTTCAGTCGTGTTGCGGTCTTAGTGCTTGACAGCTTCGGCGCTGAAGCTCAACAAAGCATGCCGGGAGAGGGGGCGAGAGAGCAGACTGGGGCAGCGGGGCATGCTCAAGGCAAGCTGTGATGAAGGGGCGTCAGCGTTAGCATGTTTCACCCAGACCTTCTAAAACCTGCGCCTTTCACAATCAAAACCTGGTAGGGGACAGTCCCAGACAGAAATAGATACGGCCTTTTGCGGTAGGCTCACTTAAAAAATAGCGGGGGAATTTACTGCCCAACTTTGCTCTCATCATGAGGCATCATTGACTGTCGCCGTTCAGGAGCCGTGTTCCGCTCTGTGATTCTTGCAGCACCATGGGACTGGGGATCTTGATGGTAAGGCGACCAGGCAAATTAAGGGACAAGTTAGTTAGGGAAATGGATGTCATCCATATTATCCATGGAAACAACCGCTCGGACAGCGTCTCATACTGGGGAAACCGACTTTGGAGTCCCTCGCAGGGTTTGTCCTTTGAGCCCGGTTTCACAAGAACGACCACTCAGGTTTGCCGGTCAACAGCACTGAGTGAGCCTCGTGAAAAGTGGCGGGGGAATTTGACATTTGAAGCCAGCTGAACCTCTTCCTCCGTTTGCACGGGCATGTCTCTTTGGCTTGGTGAGCTTGCGGGTACCCATTTCGCCACAAGGCCAGCGCCTGTTCTTTGAACAGATCAAGGAGGCTGTTCTGGCAATCCCTAAATATTGCGAGTAAAACAACCAACTTGTTCTTTGGCTCGCCTTTTACTTTGTTGACATCCGCCTAGAATGGTCGCTCTTATCCCGTTGCCCCCGTCTGCCCCCCCGGCTTTCCGAGTCTGAAGCGGCATCCTGAACGCCCTCTTGAGATTTAAAGGGGTTTCGACCTCCTGAAAGTCATTTTGAGAGCCTCTCAAGATGTTCACTCAAGTCACCCCAACGGTTTCCCATCCAACTCACCCCTTTTTGCTTCTTGTGTATCCTCCAAAGGTTTTCCCATTCGGGGCCCAGACTTGCGCCAAATCCGCGTCGTTAGAGGCCGCCCTGGATGATGAGCGCCAGCTGAGCACTCGAGAGCGGGAGGCGGGTACCGCGAAAACGGGGCTGGGGTTCCTGGATGCCATTTTTTGTGAAGCCAAAGCCCAGAATAGTAAATTGATTTTGAGGGGGCCAAGAATGGTGCCATGATGGTTACGAGTCAACCAATCTTTCCTGTACTTGCAACCTTGGGTATGCTTTCAATCCTTTGCTGGCGGGGGTGGGGGCTTTGGGCGCTTTGGGTTTCTCCCAACTTAGGCAATGGGCCGCTCCAATCGGTTTTATCGCATCATAGGTTTTCTAGTGTCTGTTATCCCAACCCAGGTGAAAGGGGCGCACCAACCTCAAGCAAACCTGCGAGTTGCCATCGACAAAAGGGTGGAGGGGGTCTGGATTTGCATTGGAATGGTCCTGACCTCAAAAATATATGATATGCCCTCTTTGAGGTCCAAAGATTCTTGGGGATGTTGGGCTGTAAGGAAACATTAAAAGGAACGCCACCTTTTTTTTGGGCGGGGTAGAATGTCCACGATCAAAGACACGACGCCTTCGCGGAGCCGTTGCCGCGGATGTCAGGTGCTGGCTGAGCGCTTGCGCTTTGCGGAGGCGGAAGATGAGGCGCTTGGAGGGGGGTGGGACGAGACTGGCGAAGGGCCCTAGATGTCATTTGGGTGTCAAAATAGAGGCACCCTACAGATGGATTTTGGTTTTCTGATTGACCTGCACAATTTAACAAGCACGCCATTTCTTCATGGCAAAGTCCCCTCCTCCTCTGAGAGACCTTTTGTGTTGGTCAAGAGAAAGCCTGAGGTTATACGTAGCAGCCACGGGGTTCGGGCTGGAGAATAACAATATTGTCAAACCAGCAACCAAAAGTTCCTAAGCAAGTTGGTGGAACCAAAAGGTCCACAGTTTTGTCCCTATCCTTTGCCGCCCACACCCGATGGTCCCCCCACTGGTGTGTTCCCAAAAAAGGGGGGCTGTTGGCGCTTTGTCATCTCAACGTCATCTCCCCTAGGGTTTTTTGGCCTAGAAGATCGCGCCCACGGAGTTGTTAGGGGGAGGGCGGTTCTTTAACCACCTCATGCCACGCGTACGCTGATCGAGGCCGCGCGCGAGCGCCTGGCCCGCGCCTTGTCTTCGCTCCGCAGCCGGGGGAGGGAAGGCACGGAGGAGGCCGGGGGCGAAGCTGCGAAGCTGATCCAACGGTTGCGGGGAGAACCTTGGCCGTGGCTTTTTGTGGTTGTCCTTTTTCCGGCCAAATGGGTATGGCTCCAAAACCCGGTACCAAAATGGAACCCTGGTAAGTGGAAAGGTGGAACAAAACCTGCGTAACCCTAGCTCTTTAATTTTGAGCCACTGCCAAATCAGCCAAATCTCTGCCTGTGTCACAGGGGTTTCGGCATTAAGAGTTGCGGACCTTTTGCAAATCCCCCACAGAACGGGGCACTTGTCGGGGCTGAAAAGGGTTTGTTGCCCCTTCTTCGTTTCCTTCACCTTGCCCCCTTTTTGGTTTTTGGGTCAGCCCAACTTCCAGGTTTTGAGCCGAATCGCAGGCGGCGGCACAGCAGAGCTTCATGGAGGACTTTTGCCTGGGCCAAATGATGGGAACCCGCTTGAGTACTTGCTGGTTCTCTGGCAATCAAGAAAGGTATTGGGAATGAGTGGTTTGGGATCATACGGTGGATGCCCTGAAAGTTGCTAGTGGGAGACCAAGGGAAACCCAGCAATTCACCCGGGTTTTGTGTTATGTGATCTGATTTGTTCCCTTGCAAGTCGTGGTTGGAATCCATGGTACCCGTCGTCCCAAAGCCCACAGAAACCAAGGGCGACATGTTTTGCCTGTTCCTCACATTTCCCTTGAGTGATTTAAGCATCACCTTTTGGGTCATTTTGTTCCGGGGGTGATGTTCAAGGGGGCGTACACCAAGGAACCCCGTTCCCTCCTATCCCATTGAGGGGAAGCGTGGGCCATTTTGTTTGTGAGTTGGCCAGGACCGCTTTCAGAGGTTGCATGAAGAGTGCAGTCACTTCCAGGCGCTCGGCACAGCCGACATTTGAGGAACAATGCCGCGTGCCATTCAAACGATGGCTTAAAAAGGTGGTTTAAACTGGGGCGCCCCTCTAATGATGGGTTTCCTGTTGCCTTCGCTTTAAGAAAGGGCCATAAGAGGGCTCCCCAATTTTTTGGAGCCTCCCAAAGTGTCTCAGGCCGAGCTGTTTTTTTTTCTCTCTTTTTTTCTTTTTCCGTGAATAAGGCACTTGGTCAAGAGGCCGAGACAAACTAGGAGACTCGGAGTGGGTTTGCTTCCAGTTCCCCTGAAAAGGGTGCATTCACGGTTCATCTGAAGGGCTCCCTAGTTTGGACACATCCCCAAGACTGCTCCACGGACAATTGGGCATGTGACCGGCATGTGAAGCTCGGAATATCCTCACGCACGGTTGAGGAGGTTTTGCTCGTAGGTCAAACATGGCAATGGACAACCCAAGTCTTCAGTAGGCTTGTCATGAGTAGGAGCCAGTACTTGTTACGGGCATGAAGAATGTTCGTCCAGTCGGTGAGCAAAAGTCACTGGAGCGAGTTGAAGCTTCGCTGAGAGTTCACGAGAGCTGCTTTGCACATTTCGCATTTGTAAAAGCCCCGCACAGGCTTAGCCAAACCGTGTGGGCAGTCTTCACAATCCTTTGGGAGGGGTATCGTCCGAAGGGGGGGTTGAACGGAGCACATTTGCGCAGTGCTTCACCTATCCCGCTGGCCATCGCATCGACCTGTTTTTGACGAGGTGGCGTATTCCGGCTCTGAGCAGCGGTTGCAAGCGGTTGAGCATGCGCAAGAGGCGGGGGCGGTCAAAGAAGTCTACACAAACCCTCAAGAAACCAGGGGAGAGCCAAAGGGCACCAAGCACAACCCAAGGGAAGCCAAGAGAAGCCAAGGAGCCTCAAGGGAAACGACCCAACCCTTCGAAAGCAAGGGAAAAACCCTGCATCATAGAAAATATGAAGCCAAGGGAAACCTGTCAGGCTCCGTTCCGTTCTTCCACTTGCCAGGGAGGTATTTGAAGACACTGGCAAACATATTTTAGATTTCATCCGCCTCTACCGGAAGGTGGACTGGAACTGAAGCGTGGCATTTATAATGCCTTTGGTCTTAAAGTACCCGTCAAGCCCACTGTGTTTACTTCGGCTCTCGTAGCAGTTTTTTTTTTTTGACTTGTGGCGTCCAGGAGGCGGAGAAGGCTCGAAGCGTTGCTGAGCACGAGGCGGGGGCCAGGGGCGAGGCAAGTTATAAAAACGTCACGGTTGGGTGGTTTGCGACGTCACCAATGAAGGTTTCTTTCATTCCGTCAACGATAGGCCCCGTATTTGTGGAAATTGACATAGTTTGAGAATTTATATGAGAACCAATATAATGAATGTCAATGATTTTTGGTTGGCAGATCATTCCAGATCGCAAGGTTAATCATCAATGAAACTCGAGCTGAGCCACTGCCTGAAGTGCTCCCCTTCCAAGGAAACTCCCAAGACCTGGACCTTCGAGGGATCTGCTTTTGGCGGGCACCCCATTGCCTTCTACGTGAATTCCGAGACAGTCTGCCCTTGTTTGCGTGTGTTGGTTTGTTTGTTTGCTTGCTTGCTTGTTTTGCTTGTTTGTCTTTCAGCAAGGGGCCTTGGGTAGAGTGTGTTAACACCAGCTGCGCCACAGATGAAGATTAGACAGGACATCCCCACCACCAATGGGTTCGGCTTTCGACGCTTTCGTCATTTACATGGATTTGGGCAGGGTTCTGTTGCACACTCATGAGCCTCAATCCAAGCTTGGGTACAATGAAGGCGAGGAGAGTCTCAACCAGAAGTAGGTGCGGCTTTCAACCCGTTTTGGTTCCTGAACAGATGCTCGACCCTTTTTGCTTCCTTTCCAGTTTTGGGGAGACATAGCTTTGACTCAGATTTGCTTCACCGTGTATTCTTTACCATGGATTTTGGGCAGAACAAATCAAGCGACCAGCAGGTGGCCAGCCTGTTGTTCGTGCAGCGGGAGCAGAACGCCAGGGCCTGTAAAATCGGCCCTTCAATGGTTTTGGCAGGTTTTGCAGCGGGTTTAGTGGTGGGGTTTGTGGGTTTTGTGGCGGATTTTGCGGTGGGGTTGGCGGGGCTTTGATGCTTTTTGTGGTTTGGTGGGTTTGGCGGGTTTGGTGGATGGTGGCCATGGTGGGTGCCCATGTTCCGCTTTTTGTTTGGGAGCAACAAACCAGGGCTTGCTTTGGACACAGCCAGCAGAACAGGATGTCATTCTTTCCAGATTTCTCTGTAAGACTCCGTGAGTGTCTGCAACTGGGGAGTTGTACGCTCCAGCTGTCCGAGTCTCGGCAGCTTGCGGCAAGGTTTGTTGCAAGACGACCGCACAATCACCACTCGGGTTGGAGGGAAGTAGAGTGGTTGGTCACAACCAGAAACAATTGCGGCATTCCAGCCGTTGTGTTTGGTGTAGGCCCTTCTGAATGCGTTGAACACACCACGGGTTTGGTTGCCGATATTTTTGATTGTCAGGTGTTGATTCGGATGCAACTGGCCCCATGCTGATGGCAAGGGTGCGGCTTTTACCCGCGCTTCGGACGGACCCCAAGAAGCTCGACACAGCTGATTTCTTGACCCTTTGACATACCAGCCGAATTCCAGCTCGAATCGGAGCATCAAGTGTAGGCCCAACTGGCCTTGGTGGGCGCGGAGAGACAGAGGCTCACGGCGGGCTCACGGGACTTTGGACCAAGATGGTTGGTTTCCTCTCGGTCTTGCAAAGAACGCACAGTGACAGATGCTTGGTTTCACAGGTCTTTGTTTGACTCAACCATGGTTCACTGGGTGTGTTTCTGGTTCCATGTCAGCTTTTAAAGGTAATCCCTTCCCAATCATAAACCTGATTGAGGCCACGAGCCCGAATGCAGAAATGCGCAACCCCAAGCCAAGAGCATTCCCAAAGACATAATGCTAGAAAGGCACCCAACTCAAAGCAATCCACCAAAAACCGCCCTCAGCACACAAACAAAGCATTCCCAAAGACGTCCAAAAGCATATCTGAAGACATCCCCGCAAGCGCCCCACAGGCCCAATGGTGGGCCCCTTGTGGCAATACAACAATACCATTCTTTGCTGAAGGAGTTTTCATCACCGAAATTGGGTCAACCCTTCTTTTAGCGAAGGTTGAACCAAAAGGAATTAGTCTCTGGTATTCTGCGAACAGCCTTGCCAAGGATCTGTTGAACTGGCAACCTGTCCTTGGGGATTGAGCTTGCTGAAGGATCCTTGGGGCTTTATTCAGGTGTTGGAAAACGTTGCCGTTTCACTTCCAATTTCCGCTTGCTTTTTGTATCCGAGCTCGCGTTTGGATCGGACGGCCGATCAAATCGCAGGCTGACGCAGGAGCTGGCGCAGCTGCAAGGAGTTCCTTCGGAGAGTGAGCACGAGCCTCGGTTCGGCAAAGCAGCGACGAGATCTGGTTGGGTGTGTCTGAAGGAGAAAAAGGGGTGCCGAGCCTCAAGAAAGATACCTCCCAAACCTCCTGTGCCCCTATTTCTCCATCTTTCGCAGGGGGCGTCCCCTCGAATTCGACATCCAAAGGCTTGACGCCCAAATCTACCCAAGTCAATTCATCGGTGTGCTAAAATGCCCAAAGAAAAGAGGTGCCCCTCTTTCGCTGGGGAGTTCGGTTGCGCAACCGGATCCCGAGAAACCACAGGAAGCCACTTCCGCTTTGGCTTCCGAAAGCTTCCGCAGGCGGAAGCTCCGGGAGGAGCTGAGGGAGCTGAGCTGGGGGCACCCGGAAGCGGCCAAAAGCAACCCCTTGGGGGGTGGGATGATATATATATATATAGAAAATCACACACGCATGCACGAGCATGCCTGCAAATTTGGTACTCTCTATATATATAGATTTACAATTATGCAATTGAATGTATATGTGTGGCCGTGTTTCTGTTTGAGGGTTTCAGAGAAACCAAAGGCAACCAACCCCACCCTTTTTAAGGGGCGGTTTGCTTTGTTGTTCGCTGTGCTGTTTTTTCAAGGCTGTTGTTGAAAGGAAGCCAAATTTTCGGGTTTCCTGATTTCGCAACTGTCAATATGTCTTCGTATGGCATATGTACATAATATATATATATATATATATATAGGAAAACATATATATATATATATAGATAGATGGATTTGCGTCACCAATTCTAGGATTCGGGGAGGGGGGTTTAGTACTTATTCAACATGTGCAGATACATGCATGCCAGTCTTTCTGATTAACGGGCTTTGAATGAACTACATTGAGAAATATTGATATGGCTAACTACAGCTCAGGACACCTGATACCGAATATGTGGTAAGTCAGTTTGTGTGCACCGTGTACTCACTATATACATCATGCCATGTGTATATATATATATATACACATACATAGGTAGGTATATATACATCCATCCATCCATCCATCCATCCATCCATACATGCATGCATGCATGCATGCATGCATGCATGCATGCATGCATGCATGCATGCATGCATACATACATACATACATACATACATACATACATACATACATACATACATACATACATATGTACACACATACACGAACCTTAGAGCTAGGGTTTAATTTAAGCGCGTGTCAAGGGATTTACGCGCATGTGGCCATGGTTTCAATGAGGAAAGCGTGCAGGAAAGCACGCAGACATAGACAGAAACCCATGCAAATGATGTCCACCAAAGGGCCCCGATTGAAATTCATGCCCACACGCGGTAGCTCAGCTTGCCTGACCCCGAATCGGAGGAGATGTGGCCACGACATTGTATGTAATGTATGTACACATGTACAACACACATGTTTGGCAGAAACATATGGCATCTTGGTTTGAAGCAGGATTTCACGCCTTGACCCCGGACACGACGGATTTCCAAGGGCTTTTTTGTGGTCTTATTCCCCAGGTGAGCGTGCCTCCCACTGGCGCTCCAAAGCTGAAGCGGAGACGGAGGAGAAGGACGGGCCTCAGGGAGCTCATCGCGACACGATGAGCTTGTTCAATCAAGCGTGGTTGAATCATGTGATAGGGGGTCAAGGGGGCTGGCCTAACACATCCCCTTCGAAATGCAATAGGAAGGGCATCAGTTTCCCTTGCAGAATCCCTCTAAACTGACGCACTTGTTTGATATGGCAAGGGGCAAGGGGCCTGCGCTGCCCGAAGCCATTTCTTGAAGCTTGATTGAGAAGCTTGCGATGTTTGGCGTGGCCTTTGTGCCACATGGATGTGGGGAATCCACTGACTTTTGGTACTTTTCATCATGAGCACAGGAAACTCATCAAAAAGCCGCTCTTGCGCCTCATTTAGTTTCCGGCGACGCAGCTTTCCCTCAAGCCCGGAGGAGAAAGTCGCAAAAGCGCTGACTGCCGCACGGAAAGAGCAGGATGAACGCGCCAGGGGCCAAGACTTCAATGGAATCAAGGTGTCAAAGCAGGACCCCCCCGCCACCCGCCATTTTTCCACGGCAACCCCCTTTTTTAGGCGGTTTCAAAGGGACACCAAATGGACAGCAGCCAACTTTTTTTGGGGTCCCCCTAAAAAAAGACACACCCAGGTTTGAAAACAGCCCCCCCCATTTCGGATTTCCTTTTGGTTTGCCGATGCAAGGGCCTCCAAAAGCATGAGCGCAACGCGCGGCTGGAGCCACAGGTGGGCCAGCTCAGCGACGAGATGTCTGCCCTTCGCCAGGCGGATCGATGTCTGAGCGGCCAAAATGGGAGGTGCTCCTTGAGTTCCTTCGGAGACACCCAGAAAGGCGCCTGCAAAAAAGACGCCCAAATGGATCTGAGTCAAAAACTGGTTGGACATTTTTTCTTGGATGGTTTCAGAGAGACCTATACTGGTTGCGACTCCCACATGTGAACCTGGCAGGCTCGGTGCTGGTTCAAATCATCATGCAAATAGTGTCGGTCTCTGTAGTTTTCTCTGGCATGAAATTACACTCATGTGCGAAACATCCGAGAGCTCACTTGGTATATAGGACCCGTTCAGCCACGCGTTTGAATGGGTAGAATTCTCAACAATGGTTGGTGCGAGAATGCAACGTTTGTTTGCCCGCTAGATCCATTTGCAGTTGGCAAGGTGGATCGTGGCCGTCAACAGGCACTGGACAGGCGTGGAAGCCAAAAGTTGCACCAAGTGGTCGCTAGCGGCCGTGGCCATGTGAAAACGCACGGAAGGAGTTCTTTGAAATTGATAGTACTCAAGATAGTACCCTCCCACATGTACAGGTTCCCGTGTCAGCAGCTGAGCAGCAGGCCGCCAGTTGCGAGTCCAAAACCCCGAATCAAGCGAAGTAGTCAGAGGGATGGGGATCAACTACTCGCAGAAAGTTGCCCATGTTCCACAATGGTGGTCCAGTTGTCAGAGACCAACGGGCACAAATTTGATGGCCGAGTTCGTTCAATGCCGCCCTAAGGCGGTTCCGGTCCGCAAGTTCATTCACTTTTCGGGCAAGCACCCTCTGTTTATCCACGTGGAGTACAACCAAGGCCACAGGCTTTGGAGTAATTAAATTAAATTTCACCTGAAGGCCACTGTGGGGGGGGGGGGGTCCTGTGGAAACCAAGTTGTTTTGCAACTGGAGGCCGCCGACATTTCGCGAGGACCGACGGGACCGCCTGGTGTGCAAATCCAGTCGTGGCTACGGCATGTCGAATGTGGTTCGTTCAGATAATTTAGTTCGTTGGAAGCCAGCAAAGCTGGCGCAGGCCCGCGCCAGGAAAGGGGGGAGGCGTGGTTGGTCAAACCGGATGTCAGGTAGGTCAGTCATCGTAGAAGGTACCTCTCTTATGGCGCAGATGGCATTTTGAGATTCTCTGAATTATCTCATGTTTCAGGCTCGGTACCCTTTTGGGTGGCACGAGAGCCGCCTCTAGCCACGAACGCCAAACTCTTGGACTCTTGGCCATGCGCTGCAAGACTCCTGGCCTCGAACCTGGTAGCCGTCAAACCCTTCACCTCTTGGGAGATTGGACCAATGACTTTTCTGTCTCAAAATGAGTGGCGAGCGGTGGGGGTCAGATGTTGGGTTTTTTTAAAGCATGGAGGGAGCCACAACCAAGGCTTCTAGCTTCCTGAGGACTTCATAGTTTCCAGGCCTGGACAAGGGTCTCATAGGAAGGCTGTCGGAGCCCGGGGATTGGATAGTTCGGGTTGGTGAGATGGGCGTTGCTGAAGATGGGCATGTGCCTAAGTTGGGGGACCCGACAAATGGTGGTTTTCTTTTTATGTCCCTTCAAGCCAACCCCAAGTACCCTGAAAAAGCACACACCCACAAAGTTCAGGTTGGCGAGTTGATAGCTCACTCACATTCCTTGTGAGAGGTCTATCTGAATTGAGTCAAGGTTCTGGAAAGCCAGGGTCCCTCCAGGTGAAAGTAGACATTCACAGTTCCCCAACGTGATTAAAAGATGGCTAAGGCAATCTTCGGTTTTAGCCCCACTGTACAAACAGCTCATCACATCGCCTCTTGCTTTAGTGACCGACCTTCTGGGTTGCTTTCCCTCCAAAAGAAGAGCAGTCTTTGACAAGGGGCGTCTGCACTTCTATGTTTGGTCGATCCAATCATGGAAGACAGAAAGGTGTGGGAAGACCACTTTCCTTTTGAGGGACGTCTTTGCCCACAAAGCAATGATTGTTGGACAGAGGGTACCACTTTCGTTTTGGCGTCCTCCTATTTCGACATCCACCCAAATATGGGTGTGTCTTTCAATAGGGCCCCCCTCGGCTAGGAGGTCCCCGGTTCGGCAGTGCGGGAACCCGTGAGTTCGCTGGACAGGCGGGAGCCCGAATGGACAATCGGGCAGGTTGAACCACTTTGGGTGGTATCTCTCTCTACATGTATCTGCACACATGTGTATATATATATATATATGTATATGTAGAAGTATACATATAATATGCTACGGCGGTCCCTGCTCGCTTGCCGCCGATGGCTTCAAAGTCTTTTTTTCCTCCAGTTTGACATCCTCTAAAGTAGTCGACCAGTATTTTGGTAAAGAAATGCCTTTCCACTTGCTAAAAGTAGATGTCGCGGCTTGCAAACTCTACTTTTGCACGTCGCTCCGCTGCAGCAAAGTTAATTGCAAGAAGTGGTTTTCCATCTCGAGGTTTACCAAATGGACCGGACTCCTTTCTTTTGGATGGGCAAGACCTGAGCCATCAGTGGTTGTTGAACATGGCTAATGCGTCCAGCGCGCGCGAGGAGTGATGAGGGCTGGCGGCGCGCCTCGCCGGCGCCTCGGGTCTGGCTGAAAGCCCCCTGGTCGAATGCTGAAGACGCCCAAGTCGGCGAATGACTCAAGCAACACAGTGAGCAACCACCCAAGCTTGGCGCTGGAAGGTGTTTGCTTTTGGGAGTTGATCCAACGGAAAGAGTTGCCGATGGTTGATTCTCGACTGAGAGATGGCATGCAGGCCACATGCTCGGCGAGCGCAGGACTCTCGCTTCGTGCTTTTGTGGCGCGCGACTGCGTGCCTTGAGAAGACCGTTGGCTAGGGGAGCCCAAACACCCAAGAATCAACATGCGGTGGATATTGTCCCTTGCCAAACCAGGATTCTGCTGTTGAACATGGAGTGTCTAATTCGCATACTAAGGGATGCAAGTGAACACAGCGACCAGCCATGTGTCCAGTTTTTGGCATGGCTACTCGCACATTCGCGGTGGGAATGTCACATGAGCCAATCTTCTGAAGGTCACACATATCTTGTTTGGGTGATGAAACAATAAGGTGCTGCTACTGTTTCCTTTTCTGCTCTTTGAGTATGCATGCAGCTTGCGGGATTGTCTCAAGTGGCTTCCCCTCTTATTTCCTTGCAACCCCCCAAAAGGTATCCTCCAAGCAAAAAGGCAAGCATCTCGAATGCTCACAGCGGCCGTGGCACTCGGGGTTTCACCAAAAAGACTCTCCGCCCTGTGGGCCAAGAGGACTGCGCGTGCTGGATGCTTTCTTGACTGAGAAATGATAAACTGAGAACCGATGGACGCTGGGCATGAGGACTCCCCTTGCAAATGGCAACTTCGTTCCAGCAAGAGGGCGACTTTCCAAATTTGACCGCGATGAAATACTTGTTTCACAAATAAATCGGCAACATATATGCTAGTTTCGATCATTACATAGGAAAGGGCCTTTCGCTCGCCAGGATCTGCGTCAGGAGATGACGAGCTGGCAGAGTCCCCGGGAGCTGGGGGGGTTCATGGCTGTGAAGAGGCCCATAATCAGCGAGTCAACCAACGCATGCCCTGGCACTCCCAACGCTGCCCCAGCAAAAGACGCTGCAGACCCGCCTCAGTCGGAAAATCGACCCTGTCTTTTTCCAGCCTTCCAACTGTATGGTAGCTCGTGGAAAGGAGGCCGACCGAAAGGCCATTCTTCAGCCGCCACTCCAGATGCAAGGCTGCAAGGCCGACTAAATGCAAGGCCGACTTCTTGGCAAGTGGCGGAGCTTAAAGGGCACACAGTCAAGAGAACAGGTGTCTCAATATGTTTCTTTGAGCGCGAAGACCACGCGACGGCCTCTCCGCTCATTTGGAGCAAGGAATTGATCTGTCGAACGCTGATCAAGAGGCATGGGAAGCTGAGCCCTGCGATTCTGGTCGCGGTTCAACCATAGAATGGCATGGATTATTTTGGGGATTTGCAGCTGATGAGCTTTTTCCACACACACATACAAAAATGCCTCGCTGGGTCTGATCGGGTTCCCATCCTTGGCGCCTTGGCCCCTGTTGATCCAAAAGAACGATTGGGAGGAGTCGATGGCTTTTCACGCGGACGCTAAAGCCTTGCGCCTATCGCAAGGCTGAAGGGTGAGAGCACTGAGACCCCTCAGTGGCGGAGGGCGATGCTCGGGTGCCAAGAGGGAGGGCAGCCGAAGCGGCGAGCAACGGATATCATCATTATCATTCTATTACTAGTACTACTGAAATTCCAGACACAATCACAATAACAAGTGCTGCTTCAACTGCTACTGCTCCTGCCTGCTACTACTACTACTACTACTACTACTACTCCTACTCCTACTCCTACTCCTACTCCTACTCCTACTCCTACTCCTACTCCTACTCCTGCTCCTGCTCCTGCTCCTGCTCCTGCTCCTGCTCCTCCTACTCCTACTCCTACTCCTACTCCTACTCCTACTCCTCCTCCTACGCCTACTCCTCCCACTCCCACTCCTACTCCTACTCCTACTCCTACTCCTACTCCTACTCCTACTACTACCACTACTACTACTACTACTACTACTGCTGCTGCTGCTGCTGCTACTACTACCATAACTACGGCCATGACAATGACTATTGCCATGACTACGCTATGACTGTATATCACTGTGACTATGATAGTCATAGTGGGATTTATCACTCGTATAATGACGATTACGATCGCTATTACTGTTACTATTAAGATTACGATTTATATTTCCTATAAGTTATTATCATCATCATCATCATTAGTGTTATGCGTTATTATACTTATGATGGTCATATGGTCATGATGTGGTTATGCGATAATGTTATGACTGTTTTCTGATTGTTGTTGTATTCTACTTCATGTCATGTATTCTTTTCCGCAATCTACTTTGTGCCGTTGTTTGTTTCATATTACCAGGGTATCGATTTTGGGGAGGCCCCTATCAGTCGCTGGCTGTAATATTGCCGCCAACTCATGTAGACGAGCATCAATCAAGTCCTGGTTTTTGAGGGAGGGTACCCATTTCACATTTGCAGCCTTGCCGAACTGAATTGGACAACACTGTGCTGGGAAGCATGAGTTGGACTGACTCTGTTGCGCTTTGAGGTGACCTTTCATGTCAGCTTTTTGGGGTGATTTTCATGACTTGTGACGTTGACTCGCCAGACTTCGGGATCTCTTTCCAGGGATTGTGTCGACATAAGCCGACAGGAGCTCGTCTTTGGAAGCAAGGCACGACAGTATCTCCAACGGTAGGAACCTTGCGATGGTCCGGTTTCCTTCTGCTCCGCTCTGGGGCCTTTGGTTTGCCGGAGGTCTCCCCGGAGTGAGCTGGCCAGGCCGGGACCTTGGCGCTATCCCGTTGGATGTTGCCCAACTTTTTGCAATTGGCCTCTGGGTCATCGAGGTATAGCACCCCGGTTTCGGGTGCCACCTTTTGCCATGGGCCATCCCGGCCTTTCTTGGGGATTTCTGGGCAGAAACCTAGGAGGCTAAAGTCCAAGCTCGTTTTGGAGCCCTTGTCTCACACGAGCGCCTGGACCTCATGGCCCGTTTCAGCCGATGTATGTTACTTACACTGCATCTTACAACGGACCACGCACCGGCACAATATTTTAACACACACACACACATGCGTGCGGGGTTATGTGTTCCTGTGGCGTAAGCCGGTCACGACCTTGGCAGGAGTCACTTGGCTGTTTTGGGTTCGAGCATGTCCACAATCGCCGCCGCGTCCCCTGCATACCTTTTTGGCGTGGTTTAGACACCTTTCGGGGGTTCCCAGTCACCTTCCCGGTTGATGTTGGGGGTAAGGCGTGCACCCCTCTAAGGTCGCAGTCACCGAAATTGGCTGCCTCAACTCGCGCCGCGAGCTGAGTTGAGGTCAGCAGTCAGATTTGCTTTCCCTTGGTTTTCCCTGTTGGTGTCCATAGGTTTTTCTTGGTTTCCACTGGATTCCCTTGGGGGAGACACCACCCCCACCCTGAAGGGTCGGGGGACAGGGCCAACGGCCTCTGGTCCTAAGGGACTCCAGGGAATCCCACCTTTGCGACTTGAGGATCCCCACCTTGTCCCTTTTTTTGCCAGACCTCGACGAGGCCTGTCGAGGCCGTTTTGGGGATAGGGATAAAACAAAGAGAGGTCAATGGAGAGTGGGGTTTGGATCCTACAATTCTTGTAGACTTGAAGCATGTCAATTCTGTGGGGGCATGTGGCAACTTGGAACATGCTGGATGGACAAATCTCGAATGAGGCCTTTTTTTGACAGGAACGCTGTGAATCAAAGACAAAGATTGAGAACAAGCCTGGGACTTGGGGGCGAACGGAGATAATTGCGTGCCTTGACCCAAGCTTCCTTTGGAAAGCTGATGCTTGGTCAATACTTCAAAACACTGAGTCAAACACCCAGGTAGAAGGGGGGAGACCGTCCAAGCCACTGAGTGCGGCGCGGCCTGTTACATTTTGGGCACCCGTGGTCCCAGGTGTTGACTTAGATTTCTCCGAATTCTAGGCCCACGAGGAGAGCGCCCTCTCGATGCTGGAGTTGCGGTGTCGGGGCCCGAGCGTCGGGATGGGCTCCCAGGCTTCCGCGCAGAAAGGAACCGGCCGAAGGACGCGTCGAACAGAAATGAGGTTTGCACATCACGGCCATATGGGTTTGAGCATTTTCCGGATTTGCTTCTCGGCTTTCGGCTTTTCCGGCCTTTGGTTGGCTTTCGAAGGTTTGGCTTTCCATCCTGCGCCGACCCGAAGCCAAATGGCCCACACCTAAACCAACCCGACCCCCACTCTAAATAGGGTCTGGTCTACGGGCCGAAACAATCTGAGGCTTGGACTGGTGGAGGTGGAGGGGGGTTTCCTATTTCCCTCTGCAAGAGCCAAGGGTTCAAATGCACAAACCACAAATACACCTATGTGAATCCAAGGCTCCACTTACCCATCTTACCCCAAAAACACATACCACGAAAAAAAGGGATTGTATAGGGCAGTTGTCAAAGGGTTCATAAGAACTGACGCCATACTGTGTATTTAGGGACCAAACATAGGGGGCTATATAAGTAACATGATTCTCCCATTGAGATAGTTTGGTTCCATAGTACGCACACAATTAGAGGGAGACTAGATCTTACTCTCCAGAGCCTTGCCCCGTTGTTTTCTTAAAAGCATCTTCTGGAAAGGCATATCTTTCACGTCGAGTTTCCCGGGGGTCTTCTTTTTCCATGTTCCCGTTGTCTTGCTGGTGCTCAGCAGACGAATGAGGGAATGACCCCATCCCCTACTGTGGATGGACGAAATCCTGCACCACCTAAGAAACCTTGCAATGATTCGATTCCTCTTGTAAATACCAACAAACACTGGTTTCAACCATGGTTTCCAAGTGGTGCGAAATGGATTTCGCAACCATCCACAGTATGGCTTTGTTTCTTCGGGAATTCCAGGAGGCTGTAGGCAGCTCTTCCTTTCGAGGCCAGGAGCTGCAGCGCGGCGCTCGGGAAACGTGAGTCCCGCGGGCTGCCTGTTTTGGGCTTGATTTGGGGAGACAAAAAGATTAGACACGCCAAAATACTCGTTTTTTTGGTCGTTTTTTTCCTTCTTCTTTTTTCTGTTTTTTCTTTGGGTGGGGGAGGGGGGTGGAGGTGTGGTAAAGGTCGCATCTCAGCCCTGAAAGATCAAAAGTAAGATCCTAAAAGGTTGTTTTCCAAGAAAAAGCCCTGGTTGTTTTTCTAGCGTAGGGATGCTGGCAATGTCTCCAACTCTTGAGTCAGAGGTCCTGTTTTCAGGGATCCGTCCTTCTTCGGGGGGGGGAGGGGGGGCATTTTTTCAGGGGCCCGTTTTCCAAGGATGCCTCAATCTGGGGAATCGGTTTTGGACCTCCTAAAGTGGTACAAAGCTATTAATCTGCGGAAATCCAAGGGGCATCTTCCTCCATTTTGCCCAAACAGCTGAAATCTATTGGGTTTCAGAGAATTCTCTGACCACACGGGAAGGTTCGGGACGGCATGGGATGGTTGTTGGTTTCGGACAAGTTCCGCAGTTCCGGGAGTGCCGAGCTGCCCTGGAAGGCTTTTCCGGGGGTTGTTGGGGATGCCGCCGGTGCTTTTTGTTGATTGACCCTCCTGGTGTTTTTACGGGGTTGGAAGGTCCCACCTGGGCTCTCTGGGCTTGACAGCTTCTTGGCCCGCGCACGCATGGAGCATCTCCGGAAAAAGCTGAGGGAACCCTCCTGTCAACTGACGTCCCCAAGTCCCAAGTGCCCCGGGCCTCCGGGACATGGGGCTGTGGTGCAGGTCGCGGCTTGAGCGGGCACTGTTGGATGGTGCTGCCTCCAGGCTGCGAGGGATTCCACTGACAGGTAGCGAGAATCCGAGCAATCCGTGATTGCAAGTTTTGGAATGATGGCAGGACATGAAATCAGAGGCAAATAGGCAATTTTTATCATGGCTCAGATATGGCAAATTTGAAACTTAGAGGGGAGATGTTGCGAGGACTGCACACGGTTAACATCGCTTTGATCGGGAAACAGCTTTTTGGTTGTTCAGGATTTAAGGCGCTCTTGGGATGCCATATTCAGTGGTCACCTATTGAAAACTCGTTCACTTGTGGCTTGATTGATTGTTTTGCTTTATTCATGCCATGGGCAAAGACTTCTTGGGGTTGGGGGCGATGGTCAGCGGCCTTCTATTCTGGGATTTTGACAATCAATGTAATTAAAGGTTGCCATCGAAAGAACCATGACAATGACCTGGCCCCACACAACGCTCAGGTTTGAACATAGAACACGTGTACAGAACAGGAAACTGCGAAGCGTGATTTTGGCAGTCTCCAAACGGGATCCACGACAAGTCCTGGAGAATTGCAAGCTATTTGTTCGGTGCGTGACACTGAACATTTTGCGAGGCTTGCAAATTTGGTTTTGAAGGCTGTCATTTACACCACTTTCAAGGGTACTGAGGGTGTCAATTTTACAGGGGTTGCCGTTCCGGCCAAAAGACTTTCAGCGTTTCCTGCAAACACATGCACAATAGCCTCCCATAGGTTGAGTTTGCAGTCGTTTGGCCCCAGCACCCCAAAACTCGCTAGCTCTTGTGACTTTCATCTTTGCCCTTGCGGGTAATCTCAGTCCCCCCAGAAGCAGAACACTTGACAGTGGGTGTTTCCAAAAATCGGTTCCTCCCAATGGGTTTTCCCTGGTTTTCCCCCTGCGCCCTTTCAAGGTTGCCATGGCTTTCCATTTTGGTTCCCCTTCGAATCCCCTAGCAGAATGGGTAGGCCAGTGACTCCCTGCCTGGGTTGGTTCCCTTTGCCCACATCCGAAGGGGGTCCCCGTGCAGGCAGAGAGCCTTGGAGCTCGAGCTGCAGCTGGAGTCGGGTCCAAAGGAATCCCAGGGACCAGTTCACCGAGCGCAAGGGTCGCTACACTTCCTCAGACTGACAGCCGGAAGCTCCCGCAATTGGCCTCTGCAAATGGAGCCAAGTCTTTCAACGGGGTCCTGGGAGCTTCCATACCTCTAGTGAGGCTAAAAGGGATGGGTCTTACCAAAAAGAACATGGGCTGCGAACCTTTGGCATGGGGTTGTCTCAACATGGGACATGTCGGCCTTCTGTTTTTCCCTTTAAGACAACGAGGGTACCCTGCCAGTAGCGTCGTAGCTGTCCTCATATTCGCCTCCTTGAACGCAGATATTACACCAATCTCTGCAGGTATGCATGAGGTAGTCTTGAACTTCTTGTTGGTTTCTTTGGCTGTAGTCCTCGTGCTCGTTGCCCTGTTGTTGGTTCTTCTCCTTTTGGGATAGTGCGGACTGAGCATGTTGGAAGGCCCAGTCCATCTGGGGAAAGTTCAAGGTGCGGCTTCCCTCTTCGACTCCAAACTCGCCTTGCCTTTCCCAGTAGTCTTGGCTGATTGTCATTACATTGTTGATACCTGCAAGACCAACCATGCACATTTACCTGTCAGGTGTCCTAGCAACGTGGGAGGGAGGTGCCAACTTTGGGAATGAACTGAACGGATTGCAGGATTCCACGTTACAAAAAGGGGGGTGTCCCATTTTTTAGTAAACCCATGACTGTTGGGAGAACCCCCTGTTAATCAGCCAGGTTGATTCATCAGGGTTCCCTGTATTGCCCTTTAAACATCACCCCACACGGAACCTCGGTGAAAACTGGCCTTGCCGAAAGGTCATGTTCAAAACAGGGGGGAAGGATAGGGAACCCTCTTAATCTCGCACCTGTTTGCTGCAGTATCTCACTGTTCACTTCGGGCTTCATCGTACGATTTGGCAACAAGTGTGGCAAAACTGACCTGTTGATTCTTTCCCTGGGCTCTGAAGCTTCCCAAGCCTTAAGTTAAGTAGAGATTCGTGCCCAAAGCATCGGCTTCAGCCTAGCTATTGGGGAGGTCCACTGATTTGGTTCCACTTGCAAGGATTTAAATAATGGGGCGCCTGGGCCTCAAGTTGTTTGTTTCTTTCTCTGATCGAAGACAGCCAGAAGGAGGCCCAGCTCACTGGGTCAACAGGGAACCCCGCTTAGCCCTTTTGGGGAGCCCATTTTGAGTGACGAACCTTGCATCTGTTTGTCTTTTTTGGGTGGGAGCACCCCCAAGTTTTAAACAGTTCCACGTCTCCCCCAGCCAGAGTGCCCAGGTGCGAGATGGGGGATTCACGCGCTCGCATGCTGGTGCGCCATGCTGGTTGCCAGAGCTGACTTCGCTGAAGCAGACAAGTGCCCCCAGGATATTTGGAGCAACGAGTGGCATTGACGGCAGACAATCTGGGCTGTTGCGTGTGTGCGTGCGTTCTTGCCTGTGTGTGTGTTTGTGCGCGAGTGTGCCTATGATATTTGGATGGACACCATATGACCATATGTGCATGAGTATACACTGGCTCTTGTCTACACGCAGTTTCACACAAAAATGGTACCCTCCACAAAAGACACAGATATAAGACACCCGTATACATTGGCTGTATGTCTGCATACGACAGCACATGCGTGGTTTTGAGGCCCCGATGCGAACCGCCAGGCAAAAGCACCTGAGCCTGTGGAGTAGGGCCCCGAGCTTGCGAACCCAAAAAGCGGGTCCCGAAAAGGTTCCTCTACAGAAACGGCGGTTGAGGGTCTATGTTGATCAGGGTGTTCATGGTGCTTCTCTTTGGGCTGAGGTTGAGAAGGGGACAAATATCGGCCACCGCAAAACATAGCGTGGGAGGAGCGAATCAAGATATGGCCTTGTTTTTGCTTCTCCCAGTATCCCTGAATACCTGCTAATTTGTTTCCTCAATGACATCGCTGGAGACTTCTTTGGGGGACATTTGGGTATGAATTTTAGTGGGCCTCCCACATGGTTGGTGGACAATCCCCACCTAAACGATGTCCACCGATTTGTCATCCAGGCACCCCCTGTGTGCAAGCCCCGTAAAGACCCACGGGAAAGAACTTGGGCCAAAGTCAAAACCACAAAAGCAGACGGTTTTCAGGGGGGACATTCCCAGCCGTGGTCTTTAGGTGCTCGCCATATCCCTAACGTGCCTTGTCGGCTTGTTTGTTTGTTTGTTTGTTTGGTTGGTTGGTGTGCTTTCTTGCTTGTTTGTTTGCTTGCTTGTATGATTCCTTGTTTGTTTCTTTGTTTCTTTTCAGTCCATCGTGTGTGTGGCAGTGTCACACACCGTCCAGGGCCCGTGCCTATCGCCCATGCAACTTTCATGGGAAAGCCGGCGAGCCGATTTCAAGGATCTCCGAGGTGAGCTGCGTCCAAGGTGAAAACCTGGGTAGAGGTCAAGAGAAAACTAGTCCAACTCAAGAGCAGCTTCCCGTCGCAAGGTGAACCGAGTGCCTCTTCCACCTTTTTTCAGAACAAAAGGGTCCACTTTCCGGAACGTGCTGATTTTTCCCCCACTGACAAATTAATTCACTTTTCCCACGGGGTCCAAGATCGGGTCAATTCTGGGGGGACCACCATATGTTGACAAAACCAGAAGGGGTTGCCCCAGAAAAGGACTCACCATTTTGAGAAGCCCAAAACAATGGGCTAAAGCGTTAACCGTAGGTGGTCGCTTGTCTTGACTCTTAATAAGTATCCACTTGGGCCACCATTTTGGCTCAAGTGGACCTTTTGATCTTTTGTCTTGTGATTTGAAATCTTTCTTTCCCCTACTCTCAAAGCCATGTACGCCCCCGCCTACGCTGGTGCCGCGGTAGCAGAGGCCAAGGCTAAGGCAAAGGCCTCCATGGCAAAGTACCTGGCGAGCCTCGTGAAGAGGGAGGAAGAAGGATGGACCGTTTTGGCTGCTGAGGTCCCTCAGGCACCTGACGAGCGTTTCTTCTCCAGCGCAGATGAGCTGGAGCAGGCCCCCCTTATCCCGGCCAAGCGCAAGGCAGAGGATGAGCCGATGGAAGATGCAGCCCCTGGGGTGGCGCAGGTGCCGAAGGCCCTGACACGCCCCCCAGGGGCGTTCCTGGAGCTCCTGAACCCGCCGGAGGAGGACGTGCCCATGGAGGAGCTCCTGGCGAAGGACGAGAAGGAGCTGCCGATGCCCAGGTCCCCCTCGGCTGCAGCCCGCTTGGAGGAGGCCCGCCTGGATGCCCGGGCAGACGCCAAGTGGCAGAGGCGCCGGGAGCTGATGGCGAAGGTCAAGGAGCAGGCGTCCTCGGAGGAGGATGAGAACCCCGCAGCCCCCCCGCCGGGGGGGAGCGTGTTCACCAAGGCCCTCAAGGTCTCGGAGGGCCTCTACCAGTTCAGCGACGACCAGATGGCGGGCGACTTCCCTTGCTTCGATGCGACCACGGCCACTAGGCTCCGCCGACTGCAGGCCAAGGACGTCCAGCGGCTCCTGCGAGGCTTTGAGGGCCCCCAACTCAAGCAGGGGGGCCTGGAGCGCGTTGTGGAGGCCTTCTACATCGCCAAGATGAAGTACGAGCATGAGGCCCGGCTCAGCACCCCGGGACAGCAGGTTGGCAAGCGCGCTGGCTTGGGGTACGGGGGCCTGGAGAACCGCCCCCTGGGCAAGGTGCCCACATCCTGGATCTGCCCCTGCTGCACCATGCCCTGGGTGAAGAAGGGCGCCACGAAGTGCATGGGGTGCGGCAAGAAGACGGAGCCCATTGACACGGCGACCAACTCGGCCACCCTGGAGATGGCGGGCACGCATTGGCAGTTGACGGTGGATGACCAGGGCAATGCGGTCTGGACGGCGGCCCGGTCCGCGGGTGCCGAAGGCCCTGACACGGACCGGGCCCGCGACCTCAAGCTCAGTGCCTCGGTGGACGTCAGCGAGCTGGCCACCGACCCGATGGCCTGCGAGAACCCGGACCAGGCCAGCTTCTCGGACTTCGTCCCCTCCTCGGTCCGGGCGGTGATCAGGAACTGCCCCATGGAGCTGGACGAGGAGTTTCTGACGGCCCCACCGGGGGAGAGGCCCCCATTGCCAGGCGACAAGGAAGAGGGCCAGGAATGCAGAGCCTTCCACCCGTCTGCGGTGAAGGCCTTCAAGATTCAGACCCGGCTCAACGCCACCACCATCGCCCAGGAGGAGGCCAAGAAGGCGGACCAGGTGGAAGCGGTGGAGCGCTCCGCGGCGGTCCTCCACGAACTTCAAGGGGGGGCCATTGACGGAGGAGGTGATGGAGGCCTGCTCCTGAAGAACCTGGACTTGGACCTCTTCCGTGAGAAGCTGCTGGACAAGCTGGGTGCGGACTGGGGGAGACCCACACCGGAGCTCCTCCAGGCCCAGACCACTGCGGAGGAGGCGAAAGCGAAACACCAAGCCAGACAGGCGAAGGGCTCCCTCGAAACCAGAATGCTCGAGCCCATCGCGCCTCCCTTCAGTGCGTGGCCTAGTGAGGTCCGGGTCGCCATTGAGACTGGGGTCTTCGAGCCGACAACGGCATGGAGGGACTTCAGTATGGACGACCTCACATCCCTCACGGACTCCTACCTTGAGGCCAAGGCGGTCATCTCGCTGGGTAGGAATCCCTTCCCGGCGGCCCTCCTGTCAGATCTGCCGGACCTGACAGGGATCCTGGGAGGATTCCTCCCTCGCTGTGGGAGTGGCATCAATTCTACTCCCATCAGCTGCTGAGGGGAGCTGCCCAGTGGAGCTGGGCAATCCTCCCATTTTGGCACTAATCCTTATGCGGCGTAAAGGATGCACCGTTTCGCGATTAAGGTACCAGTAGCACCAATGTGGTGCTTTGAAGAGTCAAACGCCAACTCTCAGGCAGTCCTTGGAGCTCAAGCGGAAGACAGCGACTCTGGAGGCGGAGATGAAGGCGGCCCGCGCGCAGGCCCGGGGATGTCGGTATGCTAGCGTAAGTTAACGAAACGTAGCGTGATGCGTAAACACATACCCACATGAATGTATAGGATGTGTATGCAATCTATAATCTTTGCATATTGCATATGATTTGCGATTGTAAACACCTCCTGTTGCTGTGGTTTTACTTGGGCCCAAGTTATTTTCCGAGGCTGGCAGGCCTTTACACTCCACCGACCCGGTTCCTTCACTCCATGAAGTTGAGGTACTGCATCCCTAATCAAGAACCGGGTGCCTTGTATGCGTAATAATTCGAAGCATCAGTTAGGTGGGGATTGTCCACCAACAATGTGGTAGGGTGTTTGCACATCAAACTTCGTGGTTCCTTTTGGCTCCATGAAAGCCTTCTTGGGAGTGCTACCAGTGCGCACAGATTCTCAAAAGTGCACTGTGGGAAGGGGTGTGCAGGAGTGCATTTCTCTGGGTTTTGGTGGGATGTGTAATTGCAGTCTGTTAGTTGTTTGTTTGGGCTATGTGTACCTAAATTCTAAATTTACGTATAACCTTACTGAGTCTTCTTTGATTTCTTTCAAATTCTTCATTTTCAAAGAGCGGCCGTTGGTGAAGATGTATCAGAACGAAAGCTGCTACAACACACCATGTGGCACGATGTCTTCTGACCATGGTAGTACTTGGGCCTAGGTAAAAACACGATTGTTGGACCTCTGAAGTATCTTTGTCAACTTCTCGCGCAATTCCTTCAAAAGAATTTGCTTTGCAAATCAGTCAAAATGTCAACACATGTCAACACAATGAACTCGCACACTCTGCCAGCATCTCCAGCATCCCCAGCCAGCATCTCTAGCAGCACCTGCATCATCTGCAACATGCGCTCGCGACTGAAAAACTGCTAGAATCAGATCTTGCAAACTCTTCAAATGCATCTCCAGCATCACCTGCATCAACTCTGCAAATTCCCCCCCCCGCCCCCCCCACTATTTTAAACCCCTAATGTCTCTCGATCTAAAGGTCGCTTTCTGTCATTCTACACTCCAGCTCCTGAGAGGTAAGCGGCTGGCTAGAAGGCGGCCGTCGCCATGCCTTTAGGGTATTATCCTGTAGAGCTCGTCTTCGTCTCGGCTTTCTTTCGCAGGCGTCCGTTCCAGGCCCGAGCGGGAGGCTTAGCGCTCCCAGGCGCTTGTGGCGGAGCCCCCTGCCGGCCGACGTGCGGCGGCGAGGGAGGGGCGACGGACGCGCGGCGACAGGAAGGCGGAGAAGAAAGCCGCGCAGCGCGAGAAAAAGCAGGCAGGGCGAGAAGAGCTTCCCCCAGTCCTGGGCGCAGGCAGCGAAGCAAAAGAAGGCTGCCTGGAAAGCGAAGCGCGCGCGGCCAACTCCGGGCCACGGAAGCCGCGACGGGCGAGGCGTCGGGACACGAGAGACCAAGGAAAGAAAGCGCAGGCCCTGCCAGAGCTGGCGGCCCTAAATTTCAGTCTGCTTCCGGTCGCTGAGCTCGCGCCCTGCAAACGCCCAGCGGCGGTGGAGGCACGACCGCCCCCCAACGCAGTGCCCAGCCAACCTGTGCAGGCACGCGAAGAGGACGGCTCCAGCTCTAGCTAGAGCAGCAGCAGCACGTCCGTGGACGTGCTCGCTGCACGCCTGCCAAAAAACAGGCATGGGCGAAGGCGCAAGCAAAGAACCGAAAGGAAGCTGACCGGCTGCGAGCAGGACCGGCGGCCCCGCGTAAAGGCGGAACTGGAGCGCGTCTCATCGGCTGCAAGATCGCATGCGCAAATACAGCATTTGGCCACTCCCAGCAGGGTAGCACGGTCTCT